ATTCTGACCAACGTGAGGTGATACCTCGCTGTAGTTTTGATTTGCTTTTCTCTAACAATGAATAATGTTGGGAATCTTTTCATGTGCTTGTTGGCCATCTGTATGTCTTCTTTGGAGAAATGTCTGTTTAGGTCTTCCACCCATTTTTTGATTCTGTGGTTAGTTTCTTTGATAGAGCTGCATGAGCTGCTTGTATATTTTGGAGATTAATCCGTTGTCAGTTGCTTCGCTTGCAAATATTTTCTTCCATTCTGAGGGTTGTCTTTTCATCTTGTTTTTGGTTTCCTTTGCTGTGCAAAAACAAAAGTAAATAGCATACTTTTTTAAATTTTGGAAGCAAATGTGTTATTTGAATCCTCTGAGAAACAAACCCACAAGACGAAATCAGACACACAAGTGACTTATTAGAGAATATGGGGACGGAAAGCCCACAGATGGTGATGAAGTTCTGAGCCCTGAGAAGAAGGGAGGAAGGGCATGAAGTTCCGACAAGGCCAGTGGAAGTCCTTGAGCCAAAACCACCATGGGCAGTGTCCGCTTCCCGCAGGAATGGGTGTGCCCTAGAGTCCCTGCCCTGCTTGTCGTTGGCTGGGGGCAGCGCTGGGAATGGCAGCCTCAGAACTGCGGATGAACGCAGAGCGCAACAGGCAGAGCCCTTGATCAGCTGCACTCCCAGCAGCAGATCCAAAATCTATCTGGCCATCCCTTTACTGAAGTTTGTAAATTCTTCTCTTATCCAATGATTTATTTTGATTTTGCAGTTTTGATGACTTGGACTTTTCTGCTTTTGCATATTAACATTTTTTTCTTATTTTAAAAAATTTATTGGGGTATGGTTGCTTAACATTTTCCTTTTTAATCATTCATTCATTCATTCTTTTATCCAACCAGTGTTTATTAAATACTTACTAAATGCTATGCATTGAGTTAAGAGCTGGGAATACAAAGATGAGCAAAACAGTCATGGGGCCCAGACTTGTGGACTCTATGGTCTGCTGAGCAGGCTGACATGAATCAAATGATCACACAGCATACAATTTCAAACTCTAATAAGTGCTGCAGAGAAAAAGTATAGAGTCATGCCTGCATCTAACACCAGTTCGGTAGGGTGGAGAAAGATCCCCAAGAGAAGTGAAACACTAGAAATATATGCTCATTGAGAAAACGGTAACAGAAGAGTTTAAGGAACAAAACTAAGATCACCTGTAATTCTAAACTCCAGGGATAACTTCAGTTAGCAATTTTCTTCATCTTTTTAAAAAAATGTAATTGACAAACACAGCATTGTCCAATAGAAATAGAATGTGAGTCACATATGTAATTTTACATTTTCTAGAAGCCATATTTTAAAAAGTAAAAAGAAACAAGTGAGATTTATTTTAATAATTCAATTTATCTCACCCAGTATGTCTAAAATATCATCGTTCAAGATATAATCAATATAAAAATTATTAATATAGTAGTTTACATTATTTTTTCTTACAAGTCTTTGAAACCCCATATGTATTTCACACAGCACACCTCACTTTGGACTAGTCACATTTCAAGTGCTCAGTGGGTACTTGTGGTTAGCTGTTGTATTAGATAGCACAAGTTATATACACATATATAGGAACATATATATGTCCATATATATATATACTACAACATCACATTTGAGATATTAATGCATATTCAGTTTTGTGTCCTATTTTTTCAGTTAACATTCCATTATATGAATTTCCCATGATAGAAAATATTTTTTAAAAATTATCTTAATGCACAGCATATTGGTACACAGACCAATATTTATTGAACCATTTACATATTGTTGTTGTTGCTTAGTTACTAAGTCATGTCCGACTCTTTTGTGACCCCATAGACTGTAGCCCACCAAGCTCCACTGTCCATGGAATTTTCCAGGCAAAAATACTGGAGTGGGTTGCCATTTCCTTCTCCAGGGGATCTTCCCAACCCAGGGATCAAACCCACATCTCCTGCACTGAAGGCAGATTCTTTACCACTGAGCCGCCAGGGAAGCCCTATTTATATATTATTAGATACTTTGGTTATTATCAACTTCTCAGTGTATATACTATGCTGGCTACAATGAAATAATTTAATAAACACAATTCTTCATGCGCGTCACAGTTTTTAACCTTACAAAACATTCTTGTTGGAGTTGCTGGATCAAAGTGAACAAAGTTTTGTCAGGTTCTTGAGAAATTTCATAAAATCACATTGAGAGAGACTGTACCTATTGCATTGCCAGCAGCCCTGACAGTGTTATGTCTCACTGCGACTCTGGCAACAATGACCATTGTGATTTCTTCTAAATTTGCCTATTTGATTTGCCAAATTTGGCATTTCCTTATTTAAACAAACAAGTCTTTGAATTCCAGAGAGGTTGAGCATTCTTTACCTTTCTCTTCATTAACTAATTCATTTCTAGTTTTAAATTACTAATTTTCCTCTGTTAAAAGTGAATCCATGGGGCCTCTTACAATGAATTGGGATGAATTAGGCCTGACATTAATGTTTATTTTTATAAGCTAACATGATTGGACTGCAAATTCTACCAACCGTCGTCAAGCTTTACTCGTTGGGCGATGTTTAGCTGGGTATTAGAGGAGATACAGTGAGACACGTACCACTCTCATAGGATGATCAGGATTGTGAAGGAAGAGGGCAGGAACATGCACAGCCTGCTGACCCACCAGGCTGTGTGCACATAGGGGATGGAGGTTCACCCATGAGAGCACAGGGTGGGACTGGTTAACTCACTCCAGATGGACCCAGCTTCATGAAGGAAGTCAGATTTGGGGCAGGCCTTGAGTAATAAGTAGGATCCCATTACATGGAGTAGGTTGAGAAGGCATCCAGGCTAAGGGATGGACAGAGACAGTGGAGGTGTGGAAACACTCCTGGAATTAGTAGGAGAACTGGGATATGTCTAATAACACATCAGTGATGGGAGATGAAGTGGGGAAGGCTATTGTGCTCAAGTTCAAGCAGAATTTAAATACCCCACCAAGGCTTTATTTTATAGACTTTGGAGATTAGTGGTGCCACTGAGCAGTTCTCTGACAGATGAGGAAAGAAAAATCCTAATTCAGAAGTAGCTTTTCAAGGAAAAGGGTCTAAAGAGAGGAAAGATTGCATGTTCTTAGATCTTATGCATTCATTTCCCACATTTGTAGGCATCTCCAAGATCAGTGGAAGATGAAGAATGGTAAAGCAATGTGGAATTATAATCCACTAAGGTTTGATTCAGATAGAAATTAACCTGAAATTCTGTTTCTTTACAGCACTTTCATTCATAGCTTCTTTGAGCATTGGTTTCAATCTGTCTCTCCTGTGTCATAAATGAATGTGGTCCACCACCCTTACTTCCACCAGCCCTTCCACCTCCACCCCCTCCACCAGCCCTTACACCCCACCTACCCCAGGGTCTAGTCCTTTAGAGGAACGTGAATTTGCCCCCCTTTAAAATAGGCCAACCACCGGCTGCCTCTGTCTGATTCAGGAAAGCTGATTGTAACCCTCAGGACTTCCTGTATCTTCTTACCCTAAGCGGCAATCTCCGAGCCCTCCTCTCACCTCTGGGGAAGGAAGAAGGGACAGGGCATCTAACCAGATCTCTAATCTGAGGAGAAGAAACACCTACAAGAAGAGAGATGCTCCTTCCAGCACAAAGCAGGAAGCCCCTTCCTTTCAGAACACAGGTGTTGATGAAATAAAAAATACGTATTATACTTGCTAATTCAAGTGGAATACACAAAACCCACTCCAGTATTGGGTTCTATAGTTTCAGTTGAGGCAGATTTTACAAATGCTAATGAACCACTCCACTTGGCACTTGCAAATGGTTGAAACTTCCTTCAGCCCCACAAACTGGGGGCCAAGATGCACGGTGCTGGCTGACTAGAAGCCCATTGAGCTGGCTTCCCCAAAAGGGCCTGGGGCTGGGGTGGTTCTCCACTTGCCTCCGCTCTTGGGTGCAGGGTGAGTGCAGTGGAAGGAAGGTGAGAAGGTGGTACCTTTTCCTGATCTCTTGGTTTTCTTCTGAATCCTCCATCTAGAGCAGGAGATGGGGCAAGACGATTTCACGCCCCTGCGAGTGCACACTCTTTATCTCTGCTTGTGACTATTCTCTGTCTTGTCAAACAGGCTCTCTGAGGGGCTGGGTGAAGGCTGGGGCATACTGGGAGAAGAATGTCTGGCTGCAACCTACTCTTAAAGATTAACCCCAAATCTGTGGGGGTGTGTTGACAGAGAACTGGAGAGCGAGACGAAACAGGATAAAGATTTGCAACAACATGGTTGCTTTTTAAAAATATGACAAATAAATACGAAAAATTGCAAGAGTTTACTTTCTATAATATTTAGAATGAAAGGCCCTCCTCGTCATTTACAGAGCAGTTCTGCAAGAGGGCTTCAGGACAGCTCTCAAACAACTGCCTGGAGCGGGGCATGACCGGGTCTTCTGACTTGGGCTGGATGCAGACGAAGTTTCTCTGGTCATCAGCTCCACTCCCTCGGCCCTCGTGTGGGGAGGAGGAGAAGTTAGGCAGTGGGAATGTTAAATCTTAGGAAACCCCAAGGAAAATGCGAGAGAGCCCGATATGGCAGTCTGCCCTCCGGAGGTTTGCAGCCTGGCAATGATGAAGGGAGACTGCCACCTACGGGCCAGGTTCCAGGGAGCCCACATGCGGGTCTGGGCCAGAGAGACTCCACGGGGAAAGGAGGCTTCGTGCAGCGGCTAGTCACCCACTCCCTGCTCACAGACAAAAACTCTCAACTTGCTCCCAACAAATTAGCGTTTTCCTGATTTAAATGTTTTCCCCTCACGAGAGTATGATCCTCAGAGCTAATTTCTGTGTATAAAGAAGGCAATATGATAGACACATCTGGCCCCACCACCACATTAAACAGCCATGCACATGTGTGTCATTCGGCCACTCGGTGCCACAGCAAAGCCCACTCCCATATAAACCTACCATTTTATGGCTTCTTAACAGATATGAACGTGTAACGGATCAGAGACGAGCATCATCTTCCTGTGCCATCTTCGTAAAGAAGCTATGGGATAAGAACAATCGAACAGACATCCAACACATCACAGAGGATGCTTGTGAGGGATGAGAGGGATGGGACACGAGAGTGTAATTGGGCACAAAGGAAAAAATGAAATAAAATGAAGCTAGAGAGGGACCTTGCATGTTATAATGGTAACTGAAGAGTATAATTGAATCAACTCTGCTCCCAAAACGAAAAAAGAAAACTGACAGAATTTGAGCTTATATGAGAAGGAAATCTATTGTATTATAGTGGTTCCAACAGTATCACATAGTTATCCTTTGCTATTTGATGTGTTCGTGAATTGCAAATTCTATTCTTCCCATTCCGTTCTAAAATCAGATCTGCCCCACAATATTTACATGATATTGGATTTTGACTAATGAAGCAACCCGACTCCTGTTGGAGAAAAAGCAGTGGTATAGATGTGTGTGTGTTTCTTTGTATGTATGAGTTTGGGCACATGTGTGCACAGTGTATATAAATGTGTCTGTGTATGTGTATGTAAGCATGTGTTTATGTATACATGAATGTGTGTGTGTGTTTAATGGAGGAACTCAGAAAGGAATATTGTTGTGTGATTCCAAGCCAAACGAGGTTTAAAGGCCCTATGTCCTGCATTGCAGCCCCCAGAGGAAAGTTGAGCCCACCCCCTGAATAGGCACAGGTATAGGTGCTGGGCATGGATCAAAGAGGCAGAGATGGGCTATAGAACTTTCTACAGAAATCAGCAGGTGAAGCTCGGAGTGTCAGGTCTGTGTTTCTGGTGAGTGCCAGAGGAAACACAGGAATGAGTCCCTCTGAAGCAGGAGAGATTTCCCAGCACAGACCAGGCTGAGGACCACCCAGGACCTGCAGAAGACAACATGAAGCAGAGCCAGCACCAACCTCTTGGCCCCACTGGTAGAGGGTTATTATCATCAGTTCCTGAGGGGAGAGGAGGAGAGGAACTCGCCGTTGATATCAGAACCCTCCAGATCTCCTTTAGGACCTCTGTGCACAAACCCGTAACAGTGCTAAATCCTCATCAGTGGCCTAGTCATTCTTGTTACCCTTGGTGGTGGTTTAGTTGCTCAGTCGTGTCCGACTCTTGTGACCTCATGGACTCGGGCCCACCAGGCTCCTCTGTCCATGGGATTCTCCAGGCAAGAATACTGGAATGGATTGCCATTTCCTTCTCCATTTTAATGATGTGTAAATTCAAGGACCTCTTAGACGTTGTAGTGTTAGAACACCTGGGTTGGAAGATACCCTCTCTCCACCTTAGAGAAGTGAATCATAACCGGAAGATTTTGGTATCTTTAGTGTTGGTAAATACTATGCGCCAGTGGGTCATTTATGTAAAATTTTATATAAATGGTATCATATAAATATTTACTTGTGATCTTTTTAGCTTATCATGATGTATTTTAGGTTTAATGGTGTAGATGATGCAGATTTAGTTAACTCAGGTTAACTGCTGTGCAAGGTTGTATTGTACAAATAATTCCCATTTTATTTTCCCATTTTACTCCTGAAGGTCAGATAGCTTGTTTCCACCTTTTAGCTATTACCTGGAATGCTGAAAAGAACATTCTTTTCTTGTATTTCTTTGGGCCCATGTATCTTTCAGGAACTTCTAAACACATAAAGGTGAAATTCTTGATCATAGGTTATACATGGATTAACTTTACCAGGTTTTGCCAAATTGCTTTTTGCAGTGGTTAGATCATTTTATACTTGCCCTGGCATGGATGAAAGTTTTTCATTTCTCCATTCTCACAACTGGTATTGTTGGTATTGTCAGAGTTATTGCCCATTGAATACCTTCTTAAAGTAATTGTTTCTTCATATTCTGTCTTTTTGCTGTTTGGTGATTTCTCTTCTTGCTTGCTTATTCTTAGGAACTTATTCTATAATTTGGATAATTATCTTTGGTTGGAAATGTAGGTTGCTAATATTTTCTCTAGGTCTGTGTTTGCCTTTCTACTTTGTTACTAATGTCATTTGTCATGGACAAGTGTTTTAAAATTATATAGTTCAATGTATCACTTTTTCATGATATTTTCATTTTGTGCCCTTCTAGAATGTTGTATATAGTTTCCATAATCTAAATATGTACAGCTTTCCCTTAACATGTATGAAGTTTACTTTTGTGCAGCCTGTGAGATATAAAAATCATTTTCCCTTTGAAAATATTATTAGCAAATAGTTACAGGGCCATTTATTAAATAATCATCCTTTTCCCCCTGATCTGTAGAGTCACCTCTGTCATATTCCAGATTCCTTTGTATATGTTAGTGGTTTTGGCTTTGGGAAACCTGTCCCATGGATATATTTATTTATCCAAAGGATGATATCCTAGTATTTTAATTACCATAGTTCAGTTCAGTTCAGTCACTCAGTCGTGTCTGACTCTTTGCGACTCCATGGACTGCAGCACGCCAGGCTTCCCTGTCCATCACCAACTCCCAGAGCCTATACAAACTCATGTCCATCACATTGATGATGCCGTCCAACCATCTTATCCTCTGTCGTCCCTTTCTCCTCCCACCTTCAACCTTTCCCAGCATCAGGGTCTTTTCCAATGAGTCAGTTCTTTGCATCAGGTGACCAAAGTATTGGAGTTTCAGCTTCAGCATCAGTCCTTCCAATGAATATTCAGGACTGATGTCCTTTAGGATGGACTGGTTGGATCTCCTTGCAGTCCAAGGGACTCTCAAGAGTTTTCTCTAACATCACAGTTCGAAAGCATAAATTTTTCAGAGCTCAGTTTTCTTTATAGTCCAATCTCACATCTGTACATGACTACTGGAAAAAACATGGCTTTGACTAGATGGACCTTTGTTGGTAAAGAATGCCTCTGTTTTTTAATATGCTGTCTAGGTTTCTCATATCTTTTCTTTCAAGGAGCAAGTGTCTTTTAATTTCATGGCTACAATCACCATCTGCAGTGATTTTGGAGCCCCCCAAAATAAAGTCTCTCACTGTTTCCATTGCTTCCCCATCTATTTTCCATGAAGTGATGGGACCAGATGCCATGATCTTAGTTTTCTGAATGTTAGTTTTAAGCCAAATTTTTCACTCTCCTCTTTCACTTTCATCAAGAGGCTCTTTAATTCTTCTTTGCTTTCTGCCATAAGGGTGGTGTCATCTGCATAATTACCATAACTTTGTGATAAATCTTGATACCATCTGCTAGGGTGCATCCTTTCTCGTTTCAGAATTGTTTCGGCTGTTCTTGGTCTGAGTATATTTTATGATTTGCTTATACAGGTCAATAAAAAAATCCCCCAGAATTGTTAATAGAATTTATTAAGTTTGTGATGTAAATTTAGGAAAACTGCTACTGTTAAGCTGCAATAGCAGTTAAGTACTGTTAAGAATATATCTCCCAATATATTTGTTATTTTTTATGTATTTCAATAAAATTTTAGAGTTTTCTCTTGAAGTTTTTCACATCTTTTGTTAGACTTGCTTCTAGGTATCTCATAGTTTTTTAGACTATTGTAAATGGTATATTTTTTATTTTATCCTCATTCTTGAATGATAGTTTGTGCATAGAATTCTAAATTGATGGTATTTTCTCTCAATATTCTGAATATAATTTCTGTTAGTGAACTAGGAATAGAAGGAAAATCCCTTAACCTGAAAAAGAGTATCTACCATAATCCTAAACAAATAATTTTCTTTACAGTGAAATGCTAAGAGCATTCCACTTAAAGTCAGGAACAAGACAAGGGAAAATTTCATCCTAATTACCAGGAACAGTCAGAAATGCAATTTTAAAAAACCACCACACACACACACACACACACACACACACACACATGTGTGTGTCTATAGCTGGATTTACTTAAATCTGAGATTCAGTATTTTAACTGGCACATTTACATTATTGTGATTATCTATTGTGATGAATTTATTCTTTAATCTTATGTTACGCTTTCCACTCACCATGTTGTTCTTTTTTCTCTTTTTCTGACTCTATTAAATTGATCATTTTTTTCTTTCAAGTGATAATATTTCTACTTTATTGTTTAATTTAACAAGCATATTATTTGACAATCTTGTAGGCTAATCAATACACTTTACCATCCTTTCAAACAAAATATTGACCTTAAGATGCTTCATCTCTAGTCATTCTTCCTCTCTCTTCTCATATATTATTGTTTCTAGTCCTTTAGCTCCATTTTTAAAAAACTTCTGTTAATGTTTTTGTTACTATTATTTCAGACATTCAGTGCTTGTTTAGATTTACTAAATGTTTATCAAATTTTTTACTCTCCATTTGCTTCTTTTTAACACATCATTTATTGAGATACAAATCACACACTATACAATTCACTCATTAAAGTTTACAGCTCAGTGGTTTTTAGTATATTCACAGAGTTGCACCACCAACAGCAGAATCAACTTCAGAACATTTTCATGACCTCAAAAAGCAACCTCATATGCATTAGCAGTCACTCCTTCTTTTCCTCCAATTCTCCACAGCCCTAGGCGACTGCAGTCTATATCCATAGATTGGCCTATTCGGGACATTCTTATAACAGAATTATATATGGTCTTTTGTGACTGGCTTCTTTTAATTAATGTTTTCAAGTGGCATCTTGTGATTATGGTTTGCATTTTCCTGATGACTAATGATGTTAAACATCTTTTCATGTATTTGTTGGCCATTTGTACAACCCAAGGTCATGAAAATTTATCCCTATGTTCCTTCTAGGAATTTTATAGTTTAAGCTTTTACATTTAGGTCTATAATAATTTTGAGCTAATTTTTGTGTACAGTGAAGAAGAGGTTCAACTTCATTCTTTTACACGTGACTATCTAGTTATCCAAGATTATTCCTTCCCCATTGAATGTTTTGCATTCTAGTTGACAATCAATTGACTTTAAGTGTAGAGTTAGTTTTTGGACTCATTTCCATTGATCTCTATGTCTATTCTTAATCCAGTATCACACTGTCTTCATTTGTAATAAGTTTTGAGAATATTCTAGAATTAAAAAACACAAGTCTTCACATTGAGAAACATAACAAACATTAAATAACTGTAACTTTATAATAAGTTTTGAAATCTGGAAGGGTAAGTTCTCCAAATTTATTTTTCTTGTTCATAGATTGCTGTTCTGGATACCTTGGACATACATA